TTATAATTATTTGTAATAAATTAATGAATTATCACTGTATTTAATAAATATATCAATGTTACCGTTATTTGCAATAACGTTATAGTTACACAAAAATCTTCGTTAATACAGTAATAGATTTTTATAAGATACCACATATAGTTTTGATTTACATAATGCACCGAGCTCCCCAATGTTTCATGTGCTGGTGTAAGGGATCCTATTATTTTCCGAAAGCTGGCCCGCATTAGGTTAGGGTTTGTGTTAGTTCCGGTCAATTCTTGTTGGGATTTTGTTTGTCGGAAATCTCTAGTGTAAACTAAGAAATTTCATTTTAAAAGCAAAAATTTCAAAAATTACTAATTTTACTACTGCACTATAATAACTAGAAAGACAAAATAATTTGATTAAAAAAATAAAAAGATTTAATAAAAATATCCTTGTTTTTTTTTGGCAGTATAATTTTTATTAAAATATCTGCACGCAAGTATACCAGTGAAGCTCACTTTAATGTCACAAAGATATGAGAACCAAGATCCTAATCCATATTTCGAATTAGTTAATAAGGGTACAGTTGGATTTAATGCTAAAGATGAAAATAGTCAAATGCCAAAATAACTTTCGTATGAGATAATTTTAGAGGAAACATATTTAATTTTCAACATATCTAAAATTAGATAATATATAACAAATAGTAATAGAATGATTTTTAGTACGTAGTAAATTATTAATCAACTGAAAGTTCTATTAACTTTCAATCACGAATCCTTGCCAAATGCGTGAAAGGTAGAGTTTTTTTAGAAGTGTCATTTATCACATGACCGTTTTTCGAAATGTCCAAAGACCAAATCATAACCATCAAAGTCGTAAAGAATCCTGTCTTTACGAACATAGCCTGCAACATTGCTCAAAGAATTGACAAGATGTTTTTTGTCAACGTTACATCCTTGAGTCTTAAAAACGGTTACACTAAATTTACCGGGTTCAAAAATAGATATCACTTGGTGAATGATCTCTGAAATAGATCCATGTGCTAACGGGATGTTAGTTTCGAATGACGCATAAGAGCAGCTCTGTTCCGGAGTAACATGGATAGTAAAATAGCTATCTTCAAGCAATCCATTCGCAGAATATCCACAAGGTTTAAATAGAAAAGAATCCAATTTTGCTGAGGGATAAAGATTTTTCAAACCTGTTTCTCTATCTACTCGTGCACCACCTTCGGTTCCTGAATCATCATCCATATTGTTACAATAAAATTTTTTCATCGCTTTTGGACTTAGTTCAGTCATTAGTACTTCGACTGTCTGATCGTCCAAGTTCAAGTCGTTGGTTGCACATTGATCGTCCACATTAACGTCTAAGGAATAACTATCGCCTGAAGATGCCGCACGATGACGTAATCGTGATGAATTTTCGTTATCGGAAGTGATGTCATTTTGTGGTGATGTCAAATACAAGAACCAATGATCGCCATTGATCCTTCCAACAGTATAAGCACTACCATTATCTTAGATTCATAAAATCGAACGTGTTAACTTGATGACAAAAGTACTAGCGTTTATTAAGTATTTTGTTCATGCCTTACCGAAAAGTTGTTCCAAGTAAGCAACCTCGTCTTTCCAATCATTATGCGGGTGTAATTGCCGTTCAGGAAACATAAAGCTCTTTCGAGAATAAAATACCCTCCAAACCCTATGAAATTGACAGTACTCGGATGCGATTTCCAAAAGACGAGGTATAGCTACGAGGAGAGTTGTTGTTCCACATGTTTTCAGAATAATTTTGTGTTGATATACAAACATTGAAGATTCGCTATATTATGTTGATAGATGCTTGCCGCTTTCAACTTCATTAATTTTAAAATTTTTATTATAAATACCATAATTCTCACCTTAATAAATAAGCATCCACATGGTCATTTTCAGTCATGTTTATTATTCTACACTTAACAATATTTAACATATCATCCCATATTTTTCTCTCAACAGAGCGTAATCCAATGTTCGTCGATGAATTGCCTTTATCTATATAATTTGGTGATGGCTCAAACCAAATTTCAAGCAATTTCTCTGGTCCTTCAAAACTATCAGATCCATTTGACGAAAATAATGTCCTATCAGAGGTTGTGTCCGTCGATATTGACGATGATGGCAAGTTATCTTTACATATTAACGTGTCCATTTTTCATTTTTTTTTTCTTTTGAGAAGAATCTGAACTTTATCATCATTAGTAAACATTGCCTAAATAAATAAAGAAATGATCGTTCAATAGGCGCATTTTTATTATAACCACGTGGTTATAATTTATACATCCATAGCTTCGTCTGCATTTTGGAATTCGACAAATTTATCCTGTACCCGGAGTATGGACTCTTTATCCCGTTCCTCAATTTTAGTTAGCATATGATAGCTATTTTAAAACAAAATTATTTATTCAACGTCAATAGGTTAAGGGCCTATAGCCCGGGTATATTTTAAGATGCTCTTTGAATTTTTTTTTGTAATAGGTCATATGGTAAACCAATATGTGTACGTACGTACGTACGTAACATTAAACCCTGCAGTAAAAATACTTGAAACTAATCAGGTTATCGATTTTACATAATTGATGTGCAAGTGACACAAATTTCAAAAGGACATTAATAGATTATTTTATATTATCGTTAGTTGTAGATCAAGTTTTTAAGTCGCATGTAAAAATTGCGTTTTCATCATTTTTAATTAGTGCCCCAGGATCGATTTAACGTTTCTTCGTTTCTATACACCGAGTTAATCAAGATTTACATTCTGATTAACCTTTTCTTTGTACTATTTTCACAATTGTGTTACACAAGAGTACTTTATTTAAAATTTTAAACCCTATATATTATCTTTACAAAAATTACACAATACTTCTATGAGATTCACCTTTTCAAGTTCTACAGCCTTACCTGTCCCAGTGATGTATGTTTTGACTATCCAAAGATTTTTTGATACTGTTTAACGTCCAAGTATCCAAGTGTTCAAAAGTATTCAGAGCATATTTAAGCTTTAAATTTGTTTAAAAAATATATAATTATCTTTTAATCTGTAGGCTTTTCCAGACAAATTTGTCTGGAAAATTATTATAAATATATTTATAATCTATATTTTTTAAATTTTAAAATATTTAAATAAAATTTTTTTTAATAATATTTGAAAATAAGAATTATATTATAGTAGTATTTAATTTTATTTTATAAGAAAAACTTTTTAAATTACTTATAAAATAAAAATATACCAATTTAGAAAAAAATTTTTAATCAAAAAAATTATCTACTTATTCTTGATGAACTCTTTAAATATTAATTTTAAAGCTATAGTTTTTAATACAATATTTTAGTTTATATAAAAGATAACATTTTTCATTATTATAAGTTTTGCAACTTACTTATAAAAATTTGGACTTGTATTAAGAGCAAAAATTTTTTTTAGCTTCAGGAATATATGAAATCTTAAAAAATCTTGAAAAATTTTAATAATAAAAATTTTTAAACTAAAACTTTAAAGTTT